CTGAGCTGGGAGTCCTGACTCAGTTTCCTGTGGCTGCAGAACTTCTGGAGGTTCATATTCCGGAAGAGCCTGCCATCGGCCTCCCTCTGTCAGATGGACTTTGCTGTTCTTGGCCTTGGGGACTCTTCATACGCCAAGTGAGTAGGGGGCAGATGGGCATGCTGGTCAGTACCTGGCCAGACAGTACAGGTCTCAGGGTCATAAAGAGGACCGAGGGGCTGGGCAGGTGGCTCAGTGGCAGAGCACCTGTCAGCATGCATGAAGCCCTGGGCTCACTTCCTTGGTACCACACACACACAAAAAGCTGGAAGTGGCACTGTGGCTCAAGAGGTAGAGCACTAGCCTTGAGCTGAAGAGCTCAGGGATGGCCCAGGCCCAGAGTTCAAGACCCATGACTGACCAAAAGATACTGATAGCCCAACCTCGTGATGCAGAATTTGTAGGCTTCATGAGCCAGGTGCTGGTGGCTCATTCTTTAACCGTAGCTACTCAGAAGGCTGAGATCTGAGGATTTTGATTCAAAGCCAGCCTGGGCAGGAAGGTCCTTAAGACTCTTATCTCTAGTTAACCACTAAAAACCTGAAAGTGGCACTGTGATGCAAGTGATAGAGCGCCAGCCTTGAATAAAAAAGCCAAGGGAGAGCACAAGGTTGAGTTCATGCTCCAGTACTGGATCATTTAAAAAAAAAACCCTCCCCCATGGACATTCTGACCCTCACAACAGAAGAAGACAAGATTGGGGAGGGACCAAGGCAGAGAGCAGAGAGGGAACCCAGGGCTGGGTGGCGCTCCGGCCTTGCACCTAATTCCAACACGAGACAAACGTCAGATCAACCTGAGGCTGTCCTCTCCCAGTACACCTGAGAGATGTTCCCAGCTTGGAAAGAGAGCTGGCTCTCCTACCTACTCTAGAGGCCGTTCCTGGCTCAGGCCCCTGAGCAAGTAGTGCACCTTCGCATCAGGTCCTGAGGAGATAATGAGGGCTTTGGGGTCAGGTGCCACCTGTCCAAGGGGCCCCTGACCACTCAGCACTGGGTCCCTTTCCAGTGCCCCCTCAAACTGTGTCTGCCATCTTGAACACTTTAGATAAAGAAAGCAGAGGGAAGGGAAACGGACGGCCACATGACTGTTCTGCGGGGCTGTGTGCACACTTCCGGGAGGTGGGAGGTGGAAGGGGTCCCAGCTGCTGCCAGCCCTATGGGGTGTGCTCCCCTAAGACAGCCCCTCACCCTCCAACTCAAGGAGCACCCGCAGGGTGGACAGGGACACAGGTCCTCCACACGGCCTCGTTCCTGCCTTGTTCCTAGTGTTGGTGGCTGCTTGAGTCGCCATCACCTCCAGAGTGCTCCCACTTAGGTGGGGCCAGTGTGGATCCCTGAGGAGCCTCTGCTTGAGCTCTGCTCTGTGCTGGGTGGCTGACTAGCACCGCCCTCCCCACTCCCCCTCCCCCCCCAAAACCTGGGCTCTGCCTCTGTCCCCGCAGGTTCAACTTTGTGGCCAAGAAGCTGCATCGCCGACTGCTGCAGCTAGGGGGCAGCGCCCTCCTGCCTGTGTGCCTGGGTGATGACCAGCATGAGCTGGGGTGAGTACCAGCAGTGCCCCCCGCCCCCCATTAGCAGAGGAGCAGTTTTATACTCAGCTAGTGCTCATGCCTGCCCTCCCCAGACCTGACGCGGCCATTGACCCCTGGCTAGGAGACCTGTGGGAAAAGGTGTTGGGGCTGTATCCAGTGCCCCACGACCTTGCCATGATCCCCGCCGGAGTCCCGTAAGTGTGAAGCTGGGGTTAGCGCCAACAGTTGTGCCTGCTCTGCCCAGTTGGGGAGGGAGGGGTGAGGAGGAGGCCCCCCCTGACCTCTGTGCCTCTCCACAGCCTACCTTCCAAGTTCATTTTCCAGTTCCTCCACCAGTCCCCCAGCAGAAGCTCCCAGGAACTGCACAGCACCAGCCCAGACCCCCAGACCCCGTCAGAGCTGCAGCCCTTCCTGGCGCCCATGGTTGCTAACCAGAGGGTCACGGGCCCCTCACACTTCCAGGATGTTCGGCTGATCGAGTTTGACATCACAGGTTCTGGCATCAGGTGTGCAGCTGAGCACAGCTTGGGTCCACAGGGGGTGGGTTGGGGTGAGGGCACCAAAGTAGGACCGATAGGCGGTACATCTGTGGTTGAGCAGAATCTGCCAATGCTAGGGGCCGGTGAGAGGGCTGTGGGTTTGAGGACTGCTGGCTCTCCACGGACAGCTCCCTCCCCATTCCCCTCCTCCCAATCCCAGAGTATACACCCCTCCCTGATCCCGCACCAGCCCACAGCCCTGGTGGCTTTCCCACAGCTTTTCTGCTGGTGATGTTGTGCTGATCCAGCCCTCAAATTCAGCTGATCACGTGCAGCAGTTCTGCCAGGTGCTGGGCCTGGACCCTGACCAGTGCTTTGTGCTGCAGCCACGGGAGCCAGGTGAGTTGGGACCGGGCCTTGTGGCTGGTGCTGAGTCTACCCCCACGTCCCACCTGACCGCTCCACACACTAAGCACCCCACCGGCCCCTGCAGGCACCCCCTGCCCACCGGGACTGCCGCAGCCCTGCTCGGTGCAGCACCTTGTCTCCCACTACCTGGACATTGCCAGCGTGCCTCGCCGGTCCTTCTTCGAGCTCCTGGCCTGCTTCTCCCCCCACGGGCTAGAACGGGAGAAACTTCTGGAGTTCAGTTCTGCCCAAGGTCAGGAGGAGCTCTGCGAGTATTGTAGCAGGCCCCGCAGGACCATCCTGGAGGTGAGCTACAAAGCAAGTTAGGCAAGCGCAGGACCCTGAGCCATGCACGGCATGCCACATAGCCAGGGCGTAGGGCAGGACCCTGAGCCACGGCACGGCATGCCACACAGACTGCTTCTGCCCAGGTGCTCTGTGATTTTCCTCACTCCGCGGGCGCCATCCCCCCAGAGTACCTGTTGGACCTCATCCCACAGATCCGGCCACGGGCCTTCTCCATTGCCTCCTCCCTACTGGTAAGGGTCCTGTGGGCAGAGCTGAGGACGGACCTGGGAAAATTAGGAGGGGCAAGGTGTTAGCAGGCAGGGTCCTCCCTCTGAGCAGGAGCAACCTCGCTTTGGGAGCTGTCTGCCCCTGGTAGGTGGGCAGCAGGCAGCAGTGGCCTCACAAGGCAGGGTGCCCACTGTCCCCCAGGTTCACCCCGTGAGATTGCAGATTCTCGTGGCTGTGGTACAGTACCAGACTCGCCTCAAAGAGCCCCGCCGGGGCCTCTGCTCCTCCTGGCTGGCATCCCTGGACCCTGCACAAGGTGCCTCCTGCTTCTTGGAGGGTGGTAGTAGAACCAGCTACACAGGAGTCCTTCCCCAGACCCCTATGAGAGCTGGACCTGGGTCTCAGCAGCCTCCTTGGGCCTCTTCATGACACCTGACCCCGCTGCAGGACCTGTCCGGGTGCCCCTGTGGGTGCGGCCTGGGGGTTTGGCCTTCCCAGAGACACCAGAGACACCGGTGATCATGGTGGGGCCTGGCACTGGTGTGGCCCCATTCCGAGCGGCTATCCAGGAGCGTGTGGCCCAGGGTTGGACCGGTGAGTGCAGGGTTCCTGGGGCAGGGATGCTGCCAGGGCTGCCCTGGGCGAACCCCAGAGGGCAGCTCCCAGACTGGGACCCACACTGCATCTCCAGGAAATTTCTTGTTCTTCGGCTGCCGCCAGCGAGACCAAGACTTTTACTGGGAGGCTGAGTGGCAGGATCTAGAGAAGAGGGGCTGCCTGACCATGGTCACCGCCTTCTCCAGGGAACAGGTGCGTGTACTCAGGGCCCCAGGCTCCAGGGAACAGGTGCGTGTGCTCAGGGCTCCAGGGAATAGGTGTGTGTGCTCAGGGCTCCAGGAAACAGTGTGTGTGCTCAGGGCTCCAGGGAATAGGTATGTGTGCTCAGGGCTCCAGGGAACGGTGTGTGTGCTCAGTGCCCCAGGCTCCAGGGAACAGGTGCTTGTGCTCAGGGCCCAGGCTCCAGGGAATGGTGCGTGTGCTCAGTGCCCCAGGCAAGACAGACAAGGAAAAGGCTCTCAGTCCACCTCTGCCTCCTACAGGACCGAAAGGTGTACGTGCAGCACCGGCTCCGGGAGCTGGGCCCACTCATCTGGGAGCTGCTGGACCATCGTGGTGCCTACTTCTACCTCGCAGGGTGAGCCCGGGGCCAGTGTGGTGGGGGCCAGCGTTGCTGGGCCAGCGTTGCTGAGCTCTCTGCAACCTGCTCCTCTAGCAATGCTAAGCGCATCCCAGTGGACGTCGCAGAAGCCCTGACATCCATCTTCCAGGAGCATGGTGGGCTCTCTGAACCAGATGCTGCCGCCTACCTAGCCAGGCTCCAGCGGACGCTGCGCTTCCAGACGGAGACCTGGGCCTGAGGACGCCTGCCAATCCTCAGGCTTCCCCCGGGGAAGCCTCCGGCAGGCAGCCATCTTGACCTGGCCTTATCTGGTTCCAGATCCCTCATCAGACCCAGGGTGTGGCTCTAGGCCCCACGAGGGGGCCCAGGGCCCCTCAGCCCTGACCCACTACAGCCTGCACCCCTGGACGCCCTTTAGTCCCTCTTGCCCACCATCCCCCGTGAGAGTCCCACCCTTCCATCCTGGTCTCGGGGTCTGCACAGCCAACCCCTCCTCACTGGTACAGGAGGAGCCTGTCCTGGTAGGCAACAGAGCCGCTGAACCTCTGAGGGACGTGGGTGCCGGGCGGCTGCAGCCTCTACGTCAGCATGCGGCGACCAGCCTGTTCCTTCACCTTAGTACCTCAGGGCTCAGGCCCCGGTGGGCAGCCACCTGTGCCTCAGCTTCCTGAGCACCCGGAAGAGACGGACCTCACCCTTCCCCCGGTCCCAAAACAGTGTCAGTAAACGTGGTCTCTGGCCCTGCTCCACCCTGCTTTTAAACCTCACGAGCTCTTGTGGTGCTGGGCGGGAGGAGGGGGTGGGGTGATGACCCTCACACCATGTACACGTGTGTGGAACTTCTACTGTGGCACTGCCAACTGCTCTGCCCACTCAGTTGCTCTGTCTAGCCCTAACACCATGGCCCACGGACCCACTCAGTCCTGAAAACAGCTCAGCCAAATCCCGAGCAGAGGGGCACCATCTGGAAGGTTCTGGCCAGGTGCTGGGGTGGGCGGGCCATCACGGGCAGTGGAGGGGCGTGGTGTGTATGGCCCCGCCCCTGGGCGGGGCTGCCTTGTCTGCCGCAGAAGCCTTGTTGGAGGAGTCTGGCAGGTTGGTTGTTGATCGGCAGAGTTGAGGAGTGGCCGTCGCGTCAGTTGTCCACACCAGGATTGGACCTGATCCCAAGCCTGGCTGGGGACACCGTGGCACAAACCAGGGGATAGAGGAGCTGGCCAGCCACCCGCGGGGACCCAAATGAAGCTTACTCCCCGTGGGGCCCGGGAGCCCGGAGGTCAGTGCCCCAGCGAGCAGTGGGTGGAGCCCACACACTGCCCGGCCCCTGAGGGCCACGCCGACCTTCACAGCCGCGGTCATTCCCCCCGCCAGCCTGAGGCCTCTGTCCATGACACTGACTTGGGTACTGGGGGTCTCACCCCGAGCCTCAGCTCTGCAGCTGGCAGTCAGCCTTGCGCCTCTCCAAGCCCCAAGCGCCTGGACCCACAGTGCCGCCTTGCAGCCAATTCGGGAGATGACCTTGGGGCCCCACAGGGCTCCAGAACTCCAGACAGTGAGCCGCTGCTGGGGGACAGAGACGAGGCTGGTGCTGGGTCCCTGACGGCATCACAGGAGCAGGAGGAAGAGGAGGACCCCGGGGAAGGGGACTGCCCCATCTGCACAGAGCCCTACAGGCCTGCAGAGCGCCAGCAGATGCAACTGAACTGCGGCCATAGCTTATGCATGGGCTGCCTGTACCAGCTGCTGGGCATGGCTCCTGGTGCTGACCTGGGCCATGTGCGCTGCCCAATGTGCCGACAGAAGACACCCATGCTGGAGTGGGAGATCTGCCGCCTGCAGGAGGAGCTGCTGGAGGCTGATGGGCCTCAGCGGCCGCCCCCCCCTCTGGCCCCCCCCCCTCTCCGGGGCCCTGGGCCCTGGGGTGCCCTAGAGCACCGCTACCACCTGCGTTTCCTGGCTGGGCCCGTGGGTGGCCGGGGCTGCCTCCCCTTCCTGCCCTGCCCACCCCGCCTGGGCACCTGGTTGTGGGCACTGCGAGAGCGTGGGCTCTGTGCCCGCCGCCTGGCGCTGCTGAGCCTGCTGGTACTTGAGCTACTGGGACTGCTGCTCATCTTTATGCCACTCATGCTGCTGGGGGTGCTTTTCATGCTCTTAGACCGCTCGGCCCACTGAGCAAAGCCCAGGATGGCCCTGGACACCAGGGGCCTGCTGACCAGGCTGAAAAGCCTACGTTCAAACCCAAGACTCTGGCCTTCAATCAAGACCTGCCATTTCTGACTGTATTTTTTTGTCTTTTCTTTTTTGGTACTGGGGATCGAATCCAGGACGTTGCACTTGTTAGGCAAGCGCTTTGCCACTGAGCTACATCCCAGCCCAAGACCTGCCATTTCTGAACCTAAAACCAGGGCTCAGGGCCACCCAAGAGCCTGACCCAGCCATAGAGCCTATGCTACCCTGCCCCCCAGACACTAGCCCAGCCCAAGGACACTACACCAAGGACAAGTGCTGAGAAAGGCTGGCCTCTAGCTTGCCGTGCTGAGCACTGCACTGGCCCCAGGCAGACACTGGGACACACCTCCCCCTTCCAAGGCAGACAGGCCTAGCAGGTGTACACTCCAGCTGTGGGCCCGTTCCCTCGATAGGACGGGCTGCAAATCCCCATCCCACCAAGCCACCCCACCCCACCCCACCCCACCCCCTTGCCGTATTCCAGGACAAACCAAAATTGGTGAGTCCCTGAAGGCTTAGGCAGCTGGCAGGAGGTCCCTTCACTGCCCATGTTCAGCCTGCAAGAGTGCCTCCAGGCTTCACCACCACCTGGACCAGGACCAAAGGGGTCAGCCCAGAGCAGCTGGGCTGGCACAAGGCCTGTGCTGCAAGGGCCCACCCATGCCTTGGAGCCCCAGCTCCACCCCAACTGCCTGGACACCTTATACCACTGAGCCTGGGGCCTCATCTGAAGAACGGAGATATCTGGAGCCCACCTACAGCTTTTTTCTTTTTTTGTCCGTCAGGGGACTTGAACCCCGGGCCTGAGCTCTTTTGCTCAAGGTGCACACTCTACAACTTTTGAGTCACAGCTCCCCTTCTGGCTTTCTGGTGGTTCACTGGAGATGAGTCTCACAGACTTCCTGCCCGGGCTGGCTTTGAACCACGATCCTCAGATCTCGGCCTTCTGAGTAGCTAGGATGACAGGCGTGGGTGGGCCACCAGTGCCTGGCAACCTCACAGCTTTTTGGTGATGTACAGGAGTTGGGAAGCTATGGACTGAGCGCTACGCCAGCACAAGACTGGCTTGCAATAAACAATACCTGTTAATCCACAGTGACTGTCCTCACTAATATCCCATCTGTACTGTCCAGACATCTGTCTGCAATGGTTCTTTCTCAAACCCCAGTGTTCAAGTGTCTGGCAGGAGGCCCCAAGGCCTTGTACCATCTCAGGTGCCATCTCAGCCACCTGCAAAGCTTTGCGCCAATGGCCCCGAGGGCCATCCTCACACATCCTGGGAGGCCCGAGCGGGGGTGGGCGGGGCGGCAAGGGAGGACACCAGCTGAGATGCCTTCATGTAGCCACCCCACTGCACTGGCCAGGAAGTTGCTCTCTTCCCAGCTGGGCTGGCTCTGCACAGGCTACCAGCCCTCACATTTGCCAAACCCAGGTCTCCGGGCCGCATGGTCGGCTCAGCTTGCCCCCAACAAGCAGAGCTGCGCCTCGCTCTGATGGCTCCAGGCTTGACCCCGTCTGGACTGTGGTCCTGGGCACCCACCCTAGGCCTATGCCGGGCACAGCCCACAGGGGCTAGCTTCAGTCCAGGTCACGGGTGCAAACTTTGGCAAAGAGTTTTAATGGCAAAGTTGGTTGCAGCGACAATGCCACGCAGGGTAGGGCCAGAAGCCACGGTAGGTGAGGAAGGGTCAGTGGGCAACAGGGCAGGGCTGGGTCCCTGAATAGCATCGAGCAAGGGCCGGTGGTCAGCAGCGGGCAGGTGGATGCTACATGATGGAGCAGGCGGACAGTGGGTTCCTCACGTGGCAGGTGCACGCCGCCCCGCAGTACTGCCGGAAGGTCTGGTAGCAGCTGCCCTCGGGCTCACCCCCCCACTGGCCTCCGGACGGGGCAGTCAGCGCCTCGGGTGGCAGGCGGCTCAAGATGGACGTGTTGACGGCCAGGGCGGCAAGTCCATAGTCAGTGAAGAGCACAGTCTCCCGCCGGCAGGTGGGACAGGAGATGAACTTGTACTTGGGGCAAGACTCATAGAGGATCTGCAGGCACTGCTCACACACAGAGTGCAGGCAGGACAGCACACGGGGCCGCCTCTGAGTGACGTTGTACGTGTGCCCACAGGTGGGGCACTCCAGTGGCTCACCAGCCACCCCTGCCCCCGACGAAGGTGCGGCCGAGGGAGTGGGGCCCGGCCGCATCACGTACTGATTCACAATGACCTCGTCTGCCGGTGCCACTCGGGGAAAGCCCAGCTCCGCGCTGCCCTTGCGTGGCCCCCGTGGCATGGGTGGGGTGTGGGGCACCCCTTCTAAGGCGGGCATGTCCCCGCCGCAAGCCTGGTTGACAATGATCTCTGTGTCGGAGGGCCAGGCGCGCTTGGGTGCCAGAGCGGGGGTGGGCCGGGGTGCAGGTGGGAAGCAGGGGGAGGCCCCGGGGAGCTCGGGGAACTTCTCAGGGTGGACGATCTTCATGGCCTCCATCTTGAGGATGACATGGGGGCCTTTCAGGCAGGACATGAGGAGGCCCGGCCAGCCACTGCCCGCCTCGGGCCCAGGGTCAGCTGGCATCCGGTTATCTCCAGTCAGACTGGATGGTCTTGCCGGTGGAGGTGCTGGGTGGGGCCTGGGGGGGAGAGAGGGGGCAGCATCCTGGTCCTGCCAGGCCTGGTGAGGACCCCGGCCGCCCCGCGGGCTGCTAGGGGCGGCCGGTGACAGCTGGGGGGGCAGGCCCCCCCCCAGAGGCCACAGTGGCTTCTCTGGTCCAGTCTGAGGAGGAGGAGGGGGAGGGGGAGGAGGAGGAGTCGGGGGAGGAAGGGGCGGGGGAGGAGGGGGCAGGCGCGGGCACGGGGGCGGGCGAGGCTGTCCTGGGCTGGCGATCTGGCCCAGGGGCTCACCCAGGGTCTCTGTCGGCGGAGGCCGGCGAGGGGGCGCGGAGGGGCCTCCTCCGGCAGCCGAGGTCAGCAGCCCCGGGGCCGGGACATCGGCACAGGCCGGGGCTAGGTGGGCCCCATGGCTCCAGGACAGGGCGCCCAGGGAAGGCAGCTAGCCGGAGCCCTGGCGGCCGGGGGATCCGCGCTGCAGGCTCCGCGGCACCGGGAGAGGAGAGGCCTACACCAGGCCTGTGCTGCAGGTGAGAGACGGCGTGAGGGCAGTGCCGGCCCGCCGCGCGCGCGCCCGCGCCCGCGCCCCGCACAAAGGGCTGCGGCCCGACCTCTGACCCCGACCCCGGCGCGGGCCCCGGGCCGGACGCCCCCCGCGCGCGCGCGCCCCGCCCTTCCCCCCGCTCACCTGCCCCAGCCTGGCGGCCCCGGCCCGCCGCCGCCGCAGAGCTGCCTCCCGGGCGGGCCCGGATGCGGCGCCCGCGCCTCGGCCCGGCGGCTCCGGAGGCTCGGCGGCGACCTCGGGCGATGGCGAGCGCGGGCGGCACCCCGGGGTGCGGACGCGAGTGCGGGCGCAGGGCTCGGCGCGGCGGCGGCGGCGGCGGCAGGTGCGTGCGGAGCGTGGCGCGCTCTGCGGCGGAGGCTCGGGGACCGCAGTGCGCGCGGCGCCCGCCCGCGCCCGCAGCGCCACCCCCCGTCTGGGGACCCGCGCGGGGTCCGCGGGGCGGGGCCAGCCTCGGCCGCCCCTCGGGCCGCTCCGGGCCCGGCGCCCGCTCCGGGGTCGCCCTCCCTGAGGGCCGGGTGCGGGTCGGGACTCTGCGGCGCCCCCTGACCGAACACCCGGCTCTGCGAGCGAGACCTTTCCTCCCACTGTGAGGGAGAGGACCTGGGAGGTGGACCCCAAAAGATGGGTGCCAGGGCCCCACCTTTGCCTCCCTGGCCTGTGCCCCCCGCGGGAAAGCCTGGAATCTCGGGCTCCCAGTGCGCCCACACGGCGCCCGGAATTAGCAGGCTCGGAGAGGGCGAGTCTGAGCAGCGGGGGGCCGCGGGAGCCGGGCAGATAACAGAGTGGGGCGGGCCATCCCGAGAAAGGGGCGCACGGGGCGGGGGGGCACCCGGAGGGGCGCGCGGGGACGGAGGACGCACGGGGCGGGGGGGGGCACCCGGAGGGGCGCGCGGGGACGGAGCACGCACGGGGGCGGGGGGGGCGGCACCCGGAGGGGCGCGCGGGGACGGAGCACGCACGGGGCGGGGGGGCACTCGGAGGGGCGCGCGGGGACGGAGCACGCACGGGGCGGGGGGGGGACTCGGAGGGGCGCGCGGGGACGGAGCACGCACGGGGCGGGGGGGGGGACTCGGAGGGGCGCGCGGGGACGGAGCACGCACGGGGCGGGGGGGGGGGACTCGGAGGGGCGCGCGGGGACGGAGGACGCACGGGGCGGGGGGGCACCCGGAGGGGCGCGCGGGGACGGAGCACGCACGGGGCGGGGGGGCACCCGGAGGGGCGCGCGGGGACGGAGCACGCACGGGGCGGGGGGGGCACCTGGAGGGGCGCGCGGGCGGGATGGCTCCACGGCCCACGTGCCGGGCGGAGGACGGCCCGCCAGGCCCCGCACCCGCGCGGGGTGGGATGCCCCGGCGGCACCCTCGGGTCGCACGTGCTCCTCGTCACTCAGTTGCGTGCCAGCCACACCCGCAGAGGCCCCATTCCTTTCTGCTTCCTCCCGGGCCGGCCGGGCCGGGCCCTCGGGGAAGGAGAGCCAGGCTATGATGCAACCGCGAGGCTGTGGAGCCTCCCGCGCCCCGCCACGTCCACCGCAGAGCCCGCTGCCCCTCTGTGACCCGCACGGGGCCCTGAGCCTGACCCTGGACGAGGCCCAGGCCGAGGGGAGGAGAGGCTGGCGCACGACGCCAGGTCTCAAGGCCACATCTGAGCTGGCTGAGCCCGCGAGGAGCAGAGGAGGAGCAGGAAGGGAGCAAGGGCAGTGGGGGCCGCGGGGCCCGGGCGGCCAAGGTGGGGCCACCAAAGCCGCCGTGTCCGAGGAGGGCCTGGAGTTCGCCTTCCAGGCGCGCCCAGCGCGCGGCCTCAGTCCCGCGCCCGCAGCGCCCCCGGAGGCACCTGACCTGGTCCCGCCCCCGGTCAGGCCCCGCCCCTGCCCAGGGCCCCGCCCACCAGGGACGAGGCCCCGCCCCGCAGCTCCGAACCGCGCCTCCCAAGCCCTGCATCCTAAACCGGGTCTTTTGGGAAACCCTGGAGCGCAGAGGCTTCTGGGGAACAAAGTTTCCACTGGACGCCCAGGCCTAGGTTGCGCATGCGCCAGCCTCCGCTGGCCTCTCCGGGGGACGGGCCGTGAGTGGGCGTGGCTTCTGGCGCCTGCGCAGAGAATCGTCGCCGTCCGCGTCCTTAGTTCCGGGTTCCCAAACCTAGGTCGCCCCACGTGCCGCGCCGCCGACACTCGCGCGTGGGCCGGCGTGTCCGGGCCCACCCCGGTCCCCCGCCTCCGAGTCACGTCCGGTGTGGTCCCGCGGGTGCGGGGCGCAGGCGGGCACCGGGCGGGGGCACGGGGGAAGAGGGGGCGAAATGGGCCGGGGCGCCTGCTGCGCGCGCAGCCGGGCTCGCGGGGACCCCCGGGGCCGCAAGGCCGAGGCGCGAGCGCGGGGCCCGGCCGGGTCACCCCGGGCCGGCCGGGGCCCTCGGCCCAGACCCGGCCGCCACCCATCTGAGCAAGAGGGGCGTGCTGCTGTGCTCCAGTTGCTGGGCCTCTCGGGGTGTCTGGAACCCCGTCTTTGGGCTCCGCCCCAGTGCCCCACCTCCTCCTGAGGAGGGAAAAGGCGGCTGCCAGGCACCGGCACTGGGCCCGGAGCTGGAGGACTGGGAGGACAGAGTGCTCCTGCTGCCGCCGTCACCGCAGGTGAGTGCTGACCGCCGGGCCTGGCCTGGCCCCGGGAGACCCCAGGCCCCCGTCCGGCCCCGGAGCGGCCCAGCTGTCTCCCCCCCACCTCATTCCCTGCTCCATCCCGGGGCCAGTGAAGGGCTAGAACGCCCCCGGCGCAGCCCCTTAGGTCCAGGAACGGTGTCTGCACATTCAGGGCCTCCGTGCCTGGGATGTGACGCTGGGCAAGGCAGGCATCCTCTACAGAGGTTCTTTCTTGGCTCTCAGGTGGTGCCCTCCTTCCCTAGCATCCATATCGGTGTCTCTGCCCGTACCCCGAGCTTGGACCATGGACCCCCATGAGATGGTCGTCAAGAACCCCTACACGCACATCAGCATCCCCCGGGCTCAGCTACGGCCTGACCTGGGGCAGCAGTTAGAGGAGGCCCCCTCCTCGTCATCCTCTGAGAGGCAGCCTCTGCCCTCTGGGTGCCGCGCCCTAGAACCAGCCCGCCTCCTGCAGCCCACCGAGGCTCCACAGCCCAAGGGGGCCAAGGGGGCCGAGGGGGCTGAGGGGGCTGTCCCTGACCAGAGTCCGCTGGCCTGGCAGCAGCCCTGCAAGCCCTCCAGCAGCAGCCGGCGCCCGGCAGGACTGACCTACGCCGGCGCGCCCCCCGTGGGCCGCGGCGACGACATTGCACACCACTGCTGCTGCTGCCCTTGCTGTTCCTGCTGCCACTGCCCGAGGTTCTGCCGCTGCCACAGCTGCCGCTGTGTCGTCTCCTAGCCCGCCCACTCACGCGGACCCAGGCCTCTGCTCAGGGGTCCAGGTGTGCGGGACACGAGGAGCAGACACTGCCATGGGTGCCGTCCACTTCCCAACTTCCCGTCCCCCGCCATGGGACGTCTGTGCAGCTGAAGGCTGGGGCCTGCCTGGGGCCCTTGAACCACAGTCCCAGATACTGTCCATGGTAGGGCCATGGATGCCCCTGAGCACACCTTCAGGGTCTAGGCAATAAAGCCGGGTGAGCTTGGTGCCAGTGACTTTTTTGTGGGTGGCCCCTTTGGAGGGGGGGGGGTTGGTCCAGGCTGAACAACATCACCTGCTCTGCACACATACATACACACGCACTCGCACTCACACAAACTGCTCCAACAAGCTCCCAGATTCTGTGAGGTCTTCCAGTAGATGGAAAGCCACTGCTTGTGATAGGCACATTAAAACTGCTCTTCAGGTCTCCTGTCTGCCCCTGCCTTGCCCAGGTCCTCCTGCATTCCTTGGGCTGAGGCTGAGATAGTGAGCAAGGCTAAGCCCCATCACAGGGCAGGGGAGGCCCAGGAGAAGCCCCCAGGGAGTTGGTCTGGGCCGCAGTGGGTGGGGCTGCGGCTGGTGGGTTTCAGGGAGTGAGAGATCCGGTCAGCAGAGCCAGGCAGCCCGGGCTGAACCCTGCCCACTGAGTCACCGCCCAGTCTCAGCCAGGGCGCTTTTCTGGTTTTCCATGAAACATTGAATTCGTGCACATCCAGGGCTGTACTGCTTAGGCTGGGGTTCCAGGGGGCTGCCAGGACCAGGCATTGAAGACATAGCAGGGAATGGGCTGGAAGGAGGAGGGTGCCTAGTGCCATCTGTTTGTCTCAGAAGCGTAGGACACCGTGGGTGAGGGGGATGCCAAAGTAGGGAGGTTGCTCAGAAGCTCGCTCCAGGCATTCTGTTTCCGGGGCAGGGTGGTGAGGCATAGCACCCTATGAAGACGGAAACTGAGCTGGCCTTGCAGGACAGACAGGTCCTCCCGTGACCAACCCTTGGCCGAGGCCTGGGTGGTTCACGGTATGTGGAGGTCTCTGGGTGCGGGTGGGCAGGTCCCTGCCATGACTTGGCTGTGTGGCCAGCCTCCACCCAGGCCAGCATGCGAACCCGTCTGGCCAGTCCCGTGGGCAGACTGCCAAGGGGGGGAGTTAGGAGCAAGGAGGGCTGTTCTGCCACCACCTGTCCCGGCAGGGCTGAGTGGTCCCAGCGCCCTCCCAGCCTGTGTGACAGTCCTGCCAGCCCCCACCATGCAGGGCCTGCGGCCACCAGACTCACCTAAGAGCCACCTCCCTGGCTGGAGGCCAGTGGGGAGACCCAAGGGAAGGGGAGAGGCGCAGTGTGGGAGCGCCCCCTGGGGGCCGAGCTGGCTGGACACTGCCTGTGAGACCGGAGTGGTGGTGCTGGGGTAGAGGGGCCCGCCCGCACAGCCAGCCAGGCTGGAGCCTGGAGCAGCAGGTGCCCTCTGCTCAGGGCTGGCTGGAGCCTGGGGAAGGGCCTGGGAAGTGATATAAGGGGTGCCACCCAGGCCTGGGCAGGAGAACTTCAGAGAGAGAGAGGGTGCTTGTGCGTGTGTGTGTGGTGTTAGTGTGTGCATGTGTGTGCACATAGTGTGTGGTGTGTGAGCCTGTGTATATGTGCATGCATGTGTGGTATGTGTGCACGTATGTGTGGTATGGGGGTCTGGAAGTGCCTGAGTTCAGGTGAGCAGGATGAGGCGGGCAGAGGGACAGCACTGGGATGGTGTGAGGGGGAGCGGGCGGGGCGGGCGGGCAGGCTCCCCTCACCTTCCCAGTGTGTGGTGTGGCAGATCCAGTTGCAGGAGCTGTGTGGCTGAAAGGGGAGCCCACTCGCAGGGACAAGCACCACCTGCCTCGGCGGCCCTGCCCGTCCGCCGGCCAGTAATGCGAGCCCAGGGAGGGAGCCCCCAGGGGCCCCGTGCCCCTCCCCTGCTCCGGCCTGGCTCCCGTCAGGAGTCAGGCATGGCCTTCCAGTGAGTGGCTGCAGGTAAGCGGGGCTCAGAAGGTCTGCCAGGAAACGCTGAGCAGAAGGGTCCTGGGCACCACCCAGTGGTCACAGACACCAAGGTGGCCAGCCCTGAGCCCAAGTCCTCGGGGCCTGGCCTGCCCCTGTGTGCGGGCACCTGCCTGCCCTGTGGCCCTGGCTACTGGGGTGGAGGGGGTGGAGGGCGTGTTTGAGGACTAGGGCAGGAGTGGGCCATGGCTTCCCCGCACCCGTGCCCTAGGATGTTGCAGCCCGAGGGCCCCAGGGCCTTGGAGGAGGGGGCCACCGCGACCCCCACGGCCCCCAGGAACGACTGCATCATCTGCTACTCGGCCTACGACCGCTCCACGCACCTGCCCCGCCGCCTCTACTGTGGCCACACTTTCTGTCAGGCGTGCGTGCGGCGGCTGGACACGCCGGCCCAGGAGCAGCACTGGATCCCCTGCCCGCAGTGCCGGCAGAGCACGCCCATGCCCCGCGGAGGGGTGGCCACACTCGACCTGGACCTGCCCGCCTTCTTGGCGGTCAGAGCCGCACAAGGGCCGCCGCACGCCGAGCCGCCTCCCCCAGCCCCCCTCAAAGGCAGCACCGCCATCAGGCGGCAGCCAACGGGGCTCTGCCCCACCCTGGGCCCCCAGCCCCACTTCCCCCAGCCCAGACGCTGCTGCTCCGGCTGGAGGAGCCCCTGCTTGTGCCCTCCTGCCAGCCCTGAGGCATGAGCCACTGCACTCCCACTCGCCGGTGGGAACTGCTGCCCGTGTCGCCGGCCCCGGCCGAGCTCCGTGCGCTCTCCACAGCCTGGAGGCCAGTGATGCCACCCGGGGAAGCACAGGCCACAGGCCAGGTCGTGGGCAGCAGCCATAGTGCCAGGAGACCCCAGGGGAGGCCGGGATCTCCCATGCCCCGGCCTGACCCAGGTGCTTCTTCCTGCACTGCCTGCACGCAGGCCTAGGCACTGTGTGTCCCCTAAAAGGGGCCTGGGCTGCCAGCCAGAGAGGCATGGCCAGGCTGCACGGTCTGAGTGGACCACCTCAAAACTAGTGTCCCAGAGGTGTGTCCGGAGGGGGACACACCTCCTCCATCTCAGACCTGCACAGAGACCCCATGTGTCTCATTGGCGCAACAGTGGCCTCTGAGCTCCTACTTGTGTCAGGCCCAGTTCCAGGAGGGTCCACAGCAGCACAGAGCCTCCTCTTCAGCAGGCATCAAAGGAGATCTCCAGTGTTACTGGCCCTGGGGCCCAGGGAGGGGGTCGTGGTGGCCTGCCTGAGACCACAAGCCCCCAGGTTCCTCCTGCTTTCTAGTAGCTGCGAGAGGTCATTCCGAGGTGCCAATGATGGACAACCCCCTGAGGTGGGGCAGGAATATTCCAGAGCCCCTGGGAAGGTGCTGGATGGCAGGGGGAACAGAATGGGGAGGGAAGGGAATTTGCTGAGTGGACTCTGTGGGCAAAGTCTCAGAGCTAGGCGAGCACAGCAGGGGGGCTGGAGTTAGCAAGGCCCCTGGGAGACAGCCTGGCCCTGCATCCGAAGTCAGGGAGGGGATGACCCCCCCCCACAAAAGGGTCTCCCACAAATGACGGGTCAGGAGCCATACAGGGAACAGAACGTGTGGCGGGGGGATGGGGGAGCTGTGCCCTCCTCCCTCCACCCTCCCTCCTTGCAGACAGACACACAGGCCCGGGCCAGCTGCTGGCCTCTTCTGGGAGCCCTGCCGGGCCCAGCTCTACCCTGTACCTGGATCTGAACCTGCTGATCTCAGGGCTTGGGCACCTTCCCAGGCCACCTGAGGAACCCTGTCCTCTCTGCCCCGCTGGTGCAAAGGGCTTTTCCCCTCCTGCCTGCCAGCCAAGTGACCCTGATAAGATCTGCAAAACTCAGAGGAGCACAGGAGGGAGGCGGAGCCTTGTAGACGGCTCCCTGGCAGCCCCTTGGGGCAGCACCTCCTGCCCAAGCAGCATGGAGCGCTGTGACCCAGGTACCCGCTGGGGACACGGTGTCCAGTCCTGCAGTGCCCCCGGCCTGGTGTGAGGCCCACCTCACTCCGAGATGATTGCTTTGGAGGCTTGGAGCTTCCAGCCATTGGGTGACAAGGGCCTGAAGAAGCCTCAGGGTCCCGGGGGCCAGGCTGGTCTCCCCTCAGGGGCCTCAGCTCCTGGGTAAACATTAATGGGGCTCCTTACACAGGGATCATGTGGGTGCCCAGCAGATCCTTGCCCTGCGGCCGCTCCCACTAAGCCTCCTCCCTGCTTCTACCCCTCACCACCCACCCAGGTAGGAGCTCCTAGAACCAGGCTGGGGCCCAGGGAAGCCAGGGCCAGGGCCTCGTCCTGAGCCCGGAGGACAGAGACACGACGGATCCCTGAGGGGGGCTGGGGTCAAGGGCTGAGGTGGCCATGCCCAGTCCCTGTGGGTTAGAAGATCCCTGGGGTGGACTGGACAAGAGCTTCTGCCCTGCTCCTCATTCTCAGAGAAGTGGAGCCTTTATCAAGCTGAGTAGTCATCTTTGATATTAAATGCCAAAGTCTATGCTGTGACCATTCTCTAAGTCGCCGGTTATATCTGATAGGGGAGGTCCTGGGGTTCTCCCAGACACTTCTGGCACCCCAGAACTTCAGCTGGGACCAGCAAGGGAGCTGGATTCCAGGGCTCACCCTGCATCCCCAAACTAGACGACTCTGCTGGTAGCTGCCCAAGGTCGCTGAGCCATACCCTTGTGGACAGGGGAAGGAGGGACCTGCGGGAGTGAACAGCGGGTCGGCAGGGGAAGGGGTAGGACCTGAGATCAAGCTGAGATCAAGGATGGAAACGGCATACTCGCCTTCCCTCCCAGCAGCTCTGCCTCAGGCTCTGGCCTCAACCTGCCCCAAATCCATGCTGAACTCCCTTGCTGGTTCTCAGTTCCCCCTCCCTACTCTGAGCATGGATGACTTGGTGGACCCAAGCCTGAGAAGCACAGGTACCAAGAGCCCCAGCCTTGGGCCGACCCCAGGTGCTGGAGGGAGGGGGCGGGGCTGGGCTTGCCTGTGTGTGTGTGTGTGGGGGGGGGGGGTGCTCCTGACAACTCTGGGCAGAGCCACACATTCCCACTCGACTTCTGACTCCTGTTCTCCACCCCAAACCCATAAGCCCCCTCCCCCTTCAATTCTCTGCCTTCTTTTGTCCCTTCCTTGGGGGGTACCGGCAACAGCCCCACCTTGCCTGGCCTCTGCAGGGTGCCTGGAGGA